AAGGCCGTGTCACACTGGCGTTTTTTTCGTGCAACTTGTGTCGCGCAAAAAAATGTTGAAGTTGCACGAGCGTTTTTTTACGTGTGACACCCCCTCATGCAACTTGAACATTTCATTTTTTTGTTGAGAGAAAAGTAGAACTGGCTTCTACTTTTTTCAACATTTTTCGGAAAAACGCGTGTGTGACATGGTCTCTTGCAACTTCCAAATTTTTCAATTAGGCGCACGAACCCACAATAAAGCGAGAATTTGTCCTGTTGTCACTTGTTGTAATAATCAACAAAGATGCCCGACGCCATCTTTGGCGAAAGCGATAATTTTGAAGAAGAAAACGAGACAGAAAGTGAGATGATCGTACATTTTCAATTTACGTGTGCAACTTGAACATTTTTTTGTGCGAGCTAAGTTGCAACGGAATTTTGCTAGTGTGACATGGCATCGTGCAACTTCAACATTTTTTTGCGCGACACAAGTTGCACGAAAAAAACGCCAGTGTGACACGGCCTTAAATAGCACTATTTAGTTTGTACAGTTGAACAGATTAAGTGCGATCACTCTAGTGTTTTATCTTTTATAAATTTAAATATTTTTCCGACTGAATGTAATTGATTGACTAACCCTTCGTATCGAACAAACTAATTTACTATTTTGTATTTTAATCACCAGACGCCATTGTTAACGGATCTAGTATTTGCGGACAAGGATATGTCTATGTCTCAAAAAGAATTCAAAATTCCACTATGATTACAAGACAAACTGTGTGGTTTGAAGCTGRCTATTATTCATCCATTGCTAGAATCGCAAAAGTTGCATGCAAAATGGCGGGCTACAAAGGACCTTCCTCTCCTTCAATGGCTGGTTACTACGTGCTGAATGGTTGGAGATGGATGAATCGCAATGATCAAAGTAATCTAAGGATTTGGTCTTGTACAGGAAACGAAGCTTCATTGCTACAATGTGATAACCCAGTATATCCACGTTATCCATTGCTGGTGAATTGTTTACCTCCGAGTAAGTTTGAGTGTTGTAAATGCCTTATCACGAGGACAGGAAGAAGGGGTGTATAATGGTGCACGGTAGTTGTTGGGAGTGGGGAGGCYTGGGTCAATTCTTTAACCTAAACGTAGGCTTGGAATTCAAGCTTTTTTTATATTTTGCCATATATATCTTCTTTTCATATTCGAAAGCAAAATCTGACATTTTTTATAAGTGGAACATTTTAAGAAATATCATGGAAATAGCACTTCACAACGATGTAGTTTTAAACATTTACACTTAAGAATCAAAGAAATATTTAAATGAGGGTCTTGATAATGTTAACAGTCAACCGTCAAATCGCTTTTTTTAACCGTCAATTGTCAAAAAAGGAACCATCAAACCGACCACATGAAAATATATTTTCATCTGATATGAGCATTATTCTGTATAATCTTCACCCACCTAGCTTTAGCTGTGCAACTAATGCTTTCAGGCTTTTATTATTAATATGTATAACTAATATTAATTGCTTGTTGTTAGATATTAAGCGACAGATTGTAAAAATTATTCCGGTCCTTTTTTTCAGTTTTCTTGTTGTAAATAAATTATTGAACGTCAGGCGAATTCTCAAAATGTCATGCCTATGCATATACAACCTTGTCAAACAGTATTATTCGGTCTTTTTTTTTATTCTCTAATGTTCTATTATATAAGTGAAATTACGGTTGTTCCGAGGATTTAGAAAAAATCGATTGGATGCCTGACGTTGGGTTTTTAGTGTTTCTTAAAAACGTTCAGTGTTTAAACTTATGTTTAAACATTTTTTTGAAATTTATATAAAGGAATGAATTTAGATATAAAGTAATGTTCAGAGCAAGCTACAGCAGGCTCTTAAACAAACACCAATAGTTTTGGAAATATGAAACGCTGTGTCTATATGGCCGGTTACCGGTCAAGGTCTTGAAAATGCTAAATGGCCGGCAGCCCATAAAATGTTTTTCCCTCTCTTATTATCTAAACARGCTTTTAAACTCCAAAATAAAACTCTATGACTAAAGTGAGTGTGTTAAAACTTACATTAACGTCGCGCCGAAATTCGTTGCAYTTTGAGACATTGTGCGAACTTGAACCAACTGCCGGATGCCGGCCACGCAACAACGAAATCGAGGCCGTAAGGCCGAGCGAGGCCTCGATTACGGCGCTTCGCGCCAACAAAAACAATAGCGAAGAGAGAAAATATCAAACCTCTGGGACCAGGGTACGGACTGCCGGTCACGCAACGTTGAAATCCTAAATGGCGGGCAGCTCATATATAAATAACAGATTTTTCTTTCCATGGATCTTTTATTATTCAAAAGGATTATTGCCAATTTCCAACTGTAAGTACATTACTCCATCCGAGAAAAATCTGTATTCTTTACTAGGATTACAGTTCATGTTCAGAGGGTTCTCATATGCAGTGGAATCATTATCCTAATGAAATAAGACTTTAGTAGGAGAACTATGTCATTGATGTATTATGATAATGTTGTATGATAATGAAAATGTTGTATGATGATAATGTTGTATGATGATAATGTAGTATGATGAAAATGTTGTATGATGAAAGACCTTGACCGGTAACCGGCCATCTAGACACAACGAATATGAAAATGCTGTTAAAATTTTCAGGAATGAATTGTTCTGCAGAGTTATAATAATGGTGAAGGCAACAAGACTGGGCAATGGCTTTGACAATAACTAAAATAAAAAATATTTCCAATTGTCGTGAAAACAGGAGTCATAAATTTATGCTATCTAAGAAAGGTGAGGGTGAATTTAGATAAAAAAATTGTCGAGAGAACCTTTAAAACTTACAAGTGTTTTTGTGTTTCAACTAAAGACACTTGATATGTGTGCTGATGAAGAAAAGTTGAGAATTCGCAAAAGCGCAATCAACAATACAGAACTCATGTTTCTCAAAATTGTACGGCTTGATTCAGCTAAGCTTTGTCAGTGACCTTTGAATAACGTTTTCACTTTAGTTAATTAATTGTTTTTAAAAATATTATATTTGGTACAAATAGACGATTTATGTTTTATAGCCGAATAAATTGACTCAAATTACTCGCGATCACGCAGCGTAAAATCACTGGGTGTATACGGTATTGTAGTCATGTGCAATACGCCCTTATAGAGTAGTTATCAAATTGTTATCTGAAAATTGACCAATCAGAGGCCCTAAGGTTTTGCTTGGAAAACACGGCACCTTGTAATGGAGCGACAAAAATGTACATAAACGAACATCTAACAACAGGAAGGAAGAGCTTTTCTTTTTTAAGTAGAATATTAGAAACGGGCTAAGAATATAAATGGCGCAAAGTGCGGCGACAAACGATGCTAAAATCTTTTTCGCAAAAATAAAAGGAGGTAGGCAAATAAAAGTTACAAAACAATCAGACCTCTATACATCTAGGTGCATCTATCGCGCGCCTACTCAAAGCTAAAAGCTGAAAAGAGGAGGAATAACTATCAAAGACACTATTGTTGTGTCCATTATATAGATTAGCGATTACAGTGTTGTATTTTATAGTTTTTAACTGTTTTTTTCCGAACAAGTGTATCATACGATCCGTAGTCTGACTTGRCGAAGCGTCTTCAAAGCCAAAACACTGGAAATACAACATGAGGGTCTGCCTGCTTTCTCGCATGCAAAACTCTAATATACTGCCATCTATAAACTTTTTATTGCTTCGCACTTTTTGTTAATTTGGACTCACGTCCTGTTATTTCTTCCTGGCACAAAACTAATGTGTAAATGGCGAACTCATTAAAAAACAAGCTTGAGAAGAAAATAAAAAATATTGAGAAAAGTGGGAATTCATGGCATCATCAATCCGTGAAAAAGGATTTAATCCAATATAGTCATTATTCATATTAAGGGAATTATAAATTCGATTCAAGGCAACTTGGCTTAAGGAAGGCGAAAAAAATGTAAATATTCTTAAAAATTAGAAAAAAAAGGCAAAACGAAAAAACTAATAATTAGACAAGAAAGACGAATAAAACTGCGGACCCGGGTAAACTCCGAAAAATAAAGAAAACTTTTATTGAGATATATACTCTAGAAAAGGTACTTTTACTGAAGAAGGACAACCCGTGTTTAAGTACTAAGGAAAAACTGAGTTGCGAGGGTCTCTGAACAAGAACAATGTAATGATGGCGTTAGTATAGGGCGAACTTAATATGGTTTTGTGGGGAGAATTGGGCCAAATTACCGACAGTTTTAACAGACGTTAAAATGTCGATAAGTAGATATAAAATGAGCGTTCTGCGCCAGGGAGGAACGGGAGGAAGCGAATTTCTGGACGCTGATTGGTCGAAACTCCGAAGAACAATGGAGTGACGTCACATGTCACGCCACGGTCACGGTTACTGAAAAGAACCTGACGTCATTAGTCACGCCACAGGTAACGCAGACTAGGAGAAGTGACGTCACTAATCAAATCACGATGAAGAGGGAGGGGTAGGAAGCCACGAAGCGCAGCGGAGTGACTTCCGAGAGAGTCGGAAAAATCAAATAAAAAGAGTAAGAAACAAGAACGTTTATTGTTAATAGAAAATAT